GCGAGTCACTATAAGGAAAGTAAAACGCAAGGAGGCGCTGTGTGCGTGGATTTCATATAGTTAGCCACAATATACCTTTTGTATAGTGAAGGGAAAGCAATCCAGAAGTTTCCAGGATAGATGTAATATCTTTATTTCTTTCCAAAACCCCAGCACCACTGATCGGTCCCCAGTTAACCGACAAGGCAGGCAGCCCAAGCTTGTTTTGACGATATTCGCATAGTTGGTCCAAAAAGGAGTTAGCTGCAGCGTAAGATACTTGGCCTGCATTACCAAGAACTCCAGATATTGAGGAAAACATGATGAAGAAATCTAGATCCATCGATAGGCTGAATTCATGAAGGATAACACTTCCTATTTAGAAACAAGTAAAATTCTTATTCATCTAATAGACCCTTTTGATAATTACTTCATAATTTAGAAAGAAATTAATAACATTTTTTACTCTCATGAGCTATAGTCTAAGATGCAAAACATCTTTCCCCAACACATACATGAGGAAGAATGTTAAATTTTCATTGATTAATCTGGAAATGAGTAGTAACTCGTGTGTCTGTCAATAGGAAAAAATTATCGCAAGAGTTTGTAATGAATTCGAATATAGCGTAATGCAATGTCCACTGTTAACATGGCCAGAAATGTAGGTCGGTCAGAGCCTCGTACCCAGGTGCTTTAACAGTAAACGCCTAAGGTTTTGTTTTGTTTTTTTTCTTATTATTTTTCGTCGTCGCAAGTTTGTTTTGGCGCGAAATATACTTGGTATTTGATAAGTGTATGTGACCGTATTTATCTATGTCACAGTTGTCTCCCAAAAGCTGTGGTGGTATATATACTTTCTTATTAGGATGGCCATCATAAAAATATTTTTTCTCAGGAACATACTTGGGCTACATAGAGAGCAAATTTTAATGATTCCACCACTTTTTTCTTAGAGGCGCATATTGAATCCTAAATTAGCGCGTCCTAAATAAGTTCGATTCCTCACAGTCTCGCATTCTTGGCAGTCATTTTTGGCCTGCATTTCTGACCATGTAGTGTGTGTTGAGCTGAGCCTAATAATTACTTGTTTCGGTTACAAACAGATGAGGTTGGACGGCAGACCGCGAAGCATCATAGGTAATGAGTTTCCTTATTCGAATTGCACGTCCCCCCTTAGTAATGCTAACCGCAATTTCGGCAAAGCTCTGACCAAGTGCAATACGAGGTGCAATACTCTGATTTGTAATCATAGGGTATCTTGAAAATAGTGTTCATTTCGCAAGGGATCGATGCAGACGATCTTTAGTATACATGCTCACCTTCATTTTAGCGAAGAATCTCAAAAATCGAATCGCAGGAATTTAAGATTTTCAATTTTAAAAATCGTAAATAAAAGCGCACATGAACCGTCAAATCCGAAACGTAAAGGAATTCTTGTAACTGTTGTTAAAATTCCTTGATTGATTAGGTCGATCAAATATAGTTACATAAATGAGGTTGAAAACGTTTATCTCAATAAATTTCACATATATCGCTAGCTTAACTACCCTTCTCTCACTCTTCTTAATCCTGTGTAATATATTTGAGAAACAGTGCATTGCCATTGGTCAAAAAATTCTGAGTAAAGTTTATAGCAGACTGCAATACCACAATAAGCAGAACACTTACCTTTTACCTTAGTACCCACAACCTCTCTGCATGTCTTCAGGTCAGCATTTTTTAGCAATTGATCTGCTAATACCATGGCAGTAAAAACAATTCCGGCTGTCGCAGGCAAACTTTCTAGTTCACTCCTTATTACATTCATTTCTTCCCAAGATGTTACGTCTGCTTGTCGTAGAAAAATTCGAGCTCCAGTTTTTTTCTCCAAAAGTTTGACCTCCTCTTTCTTTTCCTCGCATGGTGCTGAGCGAGCCGTACACATGACTGTTTTTGCTCCATTCTCAACCATCCATCTCGCGACTTCGAATCCAAAACCACGAACACCACCAATAACAAGGTAAGTGCGATCATCTTTCAAACCGTTGTCGTCAAGAGGTAGACTGTAAAAACCAACTTGATCAGGAGGATACTTAGGATTCAGAGATATTGTATTTAAACAAAACTCTTTCTTTGTTTCAACATCACGCGTTTTTTCCTTGCATCGCTTGTTGGATTCATTGCGGAACCCGATGACATCGTATATGCTGGATGCGTGTTGTGGTATATTCAAAAGGTTGTTCCAAAGGCCTTTCGATTTCAAGACTGAACAGCACAAATCCAATAGTTCTGAAAGATCCTTAGAGTTTTCAGTGATGTCTTGTAAACTCGTTAAAACCAAGAAGACATCCTTCATGTAAATCCATGGGTTGAACCTGACCGTTTCTTCTCCATTGAGAGTAACTGCAATCACAGTAGCCCCTGATTTAAGACGTTTCAGTATTTGGCGTGTGACATAAGAACTGGTCCTACCGAGAAAGCATACGGCATCTAATTCGTCATAACAAACATCTTTTGGGTCAGCCCTCGTTAATTCCTCTTCAGTCACAACCAAGAACATACCAAATTTCATCATCCGGGTTTTACTTGCCTGATTGTCCACAAGACACACGACATTTTTATCCATGGATACGGCAACGGAAGCGAAGATGAAACACACTTCTTCACTTTGATGATAGACAAGGACTTTTCTCTTACCCTCTAGATCACCAAGAAGATTTGCGAGAATGTGGTAGGACATTGCCATTGGAAATCCAATGGACGCAGCTTGTTGCGCTGTGAAATTGGCTTTCATCTCGGCGAAACAGCATTTTTCCGCAGCAACAAAACTTCCAAGATCACCAACTTTACAAACACCCACCACAAAGGAATCAGTTTCTTCGTGTCCATTGTATATTTTACCAGCTACTGAGATACAATCGTTCCTCTTCATATCTCGAAAATGCTTGCGTAAGATAGGACAGGCATAGTGAATTTCAATTTCCTTCTTTTCTTTAACTCGTTCGTTCGTTACTTTTTGTGGGAACCACTGACCTGACATACTTGCCAACTTCATAGGCTTACGTGTCCCGTCTTTCCAGAGAGGTGATTCTTTTGTTGCAAGTGTAGAATCTTCAAGGACAAGCTTTTTAATACGATTGACATACCGTCCACCACCTCGATAAACTATTTCTTCTTCCAACATTGGTTTTTCAACGTCTTGTAGCATTGCGTGAAAATCTTCTTCGGTAGGGGCGGTTGGCAAGTCAATTACAGAGGCACTAGGGATTGTGAATTCTTCGGAAAAGGTTCTCCTAAATCCAAACACAGAAGAAGCCCATGGAAAATTTTCATTCTGATTTTCTTGGATATGAGGAATTGAAACCATTCCTGAAGTGACAAAAACGAGCTGAATCTTCTCGTGAAAGCCCTCTCTTTTTAAAATCTCTTGAGAAACACAAAGACAAGTTTCGAACGTAATGCTGTGGACAATATGAAAATTGTTTGCATCAGCATCAAACATGCAGGCATCGACAGGCCAGAAATTGATCACCAGCAACCTTTTATTGCCTTTTATTTTTCTCAATACTTCATCTATTGCTTGAGAAACTGCGTCATGAGTTGAATCTGTCGTGTCTTGTACATCAACAAAATTTACACTTTCGCATTGGGGAATATGCTGTGCAAATCGTTCTGCAAACTTGCTTCGGTCCCTCAAAATAAGCCACACATTATCCTGACTATACTCTGATGAGCCAGTTGCCAACTGCTGCCAACCAATAGTGAATACTGCTTCATCAAATGTTGCCTTCACTTTGTCTGATAAAATTTGTGCCGTTATGTACTTGTCAATAATCATCACAACTTGACCACAGTAATCCATAAGAGTAATGCTATAAGTTTCTGTTTCTTTAGATTCTATTAATTTTACGTGAGCATAAAACAGTTGAGTGCAAGGGATCTTCTGGAAAATGGTGATACCTGTGATCGTCTTAGGCAGAAATTTACCCGCAATACTTTTTGATAGGAGGGTTGTCTGGAAACAAGCATCAATTACAGAAGGATGGATTACATATGCTGATGTATTCTTGATCTCTACAGTTGGGCATATGAGAGAAAGAGCTTCGGTGTCATTAGACCAGGCCTGAGATATCAAATTAAATTGAGGACCAAAAGCGAATCCCGCAATTTTACGAATCGTTTGAATATCACTTGTAGTCCTTTCTTCCATTCCAGATTTGAGCTTTTCAATAGTGTGGAAATTTCGTTCTCGGGGGGTAACTAAGTTGAAAAGCGTTATATTACAAAATTTGGATATATAGTTCGCTACTCCCTGTTTTTCACGTTTCTTCTGAAACAATCATCAGGCGAATGATTACTTTAGAGCAGTTAAAGATTGTATATACCGCTGAATAGAGTTTAATCCAGTTTTTTTATATTGCAAAAAATGTTATTTTTAAAAATATCGAACTCCACAGATTTTTTTTAAACTTTTCTATCGATAAAGATTCCGCAGTGTAAAATTTTGATCCAAAAAAATCGGGTGTCACCGTACTCGTTTCCGATATAAACTTGATTAAACTCTATTTGGCGGCCATTTTGAAACGCCTCTGTTGCTATAGCAACTGTTGCCAAGTGAAAGTTCGAAATAGATTTCGGCTCTACATATATGTTGCGTAAAAGTTATATTAAAGTTCAGTCTTGTAGACAAACATTTATGTGGCTTAATATCCCTGTTCAAGATGTGTATTTGACAATTTCAATACACTGTAGGGAGCCACCTTACGATCACAACAAAATCGACCGTTCATATTTGAAAAAGGATGTGACAAATTATCTAAGACTTTGAAAGTGCAACTTGCCGTGGTAATTTGTATTTTGCCACCGCAACCTGCCTCATGTTTTGCTTGATGGATTGCATTTTGAATGATTGCTTCAAATTGCGTGGCATGCGTTAACAAAAGTGAATTAATTTGCTATTTAAATTGTCAAATCTTTTAAAACTGGTCGAGTAGAAGGAACCGAGCTGTTTTTCGTTGAAAACAGACACTTATTCAAAAAGATTAGTAAATAAACGATATCTGAAGGTAAATATCTAACCGTAAACGGATTACCTGTTTAAAGTACTTACGTTTTAGAATATGCCCATCCTTAACACCAAGTTGAATAGAGCCTTGTGAAACAACAATTTCTTCCTCGTTGCTTTCCACTATTGTTATCTGGAATGATTTTTCTTCACTAAAAGATTTTCCAGGCTGAAGACGTGTTCTAATCCTGTACGAGTCGTTGTTGGATATGGTCAGGAGTTTTTCAAAGCTAATGCTCCGTATTTCGGGAGTTGATTGTGGAGATAAATGCAACGACATTGCAGCTATCATCTCGATATAAACAGCTGCAGGCATCACTGGGTCCGATGATTGTGAAAATTTGTGATCTTTGATGTAGGGAACATCGTGCAAATTGATTTCAGATTCCCAAGCCTCTAAACCAGTGAATATTTCTGTCGGTACAGTTTTTCCAAGAAGGGGATGGATAGTGGCGGTTGTAGTAGTTTGTTCATCAGTGTTTCGCTCATCGAGGAATGTAACGAATTCAGGCGGATGGGCACTGCGGTACCAAAACTCTTTCTCTTGCCATGGATATGTTGGACGGGGGAAAAAGGTTTTCGATCCTGAGCCTTGTACTTTATTCCATGATAACGACACACCATTTACAAAGAGACGAGCAACACAATTTTGAAGAAATGATAAGTGCTGGTTATTGACTGACCGCTTTGGCAGAGTTTGAACTACAACGACGTCATTTGACTGCAGGGAGCCAGACGCTTGATTGCGGGACCAGGTTTCACGAACATGGTACGAAAGCTGAGGCGCTGCATTAATTTCAAGAAAGAACTGGTGACCATCAGAAAACATATTTTTTAATACAGGCTCTAGTAGGACCGTTTGACGGATGTTACACCACCAATGCTCGAGTGACAAGAGCTGACCAGATAGCTGGGCGCCGGTAACAGTTGAATAAAATGGTATATTGCTTTGCATCTGGTTGACATTGAATTTACTTGTGAGTTTGAAATATGCTTGCTTTATTTTATCCATTTCCCGGCTATGATATGCTCGTGTTGTGGCCAGTTTCTTCCAAAATATGTCTCCTCTTTGACTGGATACGTGGTTTTCAACAAGATCTAAAGACAATTTGTTACCAGATAGCACAACATTACCAGGGCTATTGACGACTGCAACATCAACTTCGTTCTCCAAGTGAAGATCTTGCAGCATACGTCGAGCTTCTTCCTCTGCCATTCCAATAGCAGCCATACAGCCTGTTGGGGAACATTTCTCGTGGAGTTGGGAGCGGAACAGAACCAACTGCAAAGCTTTACTCAAAGGCAATGCTCCAGATGCCCAAGCTGCTGATATTTCTCCAAGGCTGTGACCAACTACAGCGGACGGTCGAACACCCCATGAATCCAGCAGCCCAGTCAAAGCAACATGTATGGCAAACAATGCCGGCTGTCCAATTTCGTTTTCATGAAGTCGGGAGGCTTCTTCAGGTTTATTGAGCTCAGTAATCAAGGACCATGGAGCATTGTGCTTTTTCAGGAGTGCGTCAATCTTTTCAATGCTTTCCTTAAATTTTGGCTCATGGACCAACATTTCTTTTGCCATGCCATGCCACTGAGCCCCTTGACCACCGTAGAGGAATACGACACTTTTAGGTACTTTATCAACGTTGCCGGTAGCCACTAATTCTTCCCATCCATTTGTCTGATTGGAAAACATCTCTAGGGCTTTTGCTGCATTTTTGAATGAATAAAAGCTGACCGCTAAGCGATGGGGCAGCATTGCGTACCTTTCATTTAGGGAATAACAAATATCGTCCTTGAAAAGTTCATCGTCATCAGGCTTTAACATAAGCGATTGGGACATCTTCCCGGCCATTGCTCTCAATGCATCTTTCGACGCCGCAGATAGTGTCAGAACTCTGTTAAATGAAGATCTGTTCTCGATAATAATGACAGGCTTCTTAGTAACTTCTCTGACGATAGCATGAGCATTTGTTCCACCGAAGCCGTACGAGGAGATTGCAGCAGCTCTCGGTTTGTCTTCTTCAGTTTTCCAAGGTTCATTACAAGCTTGAACAACCATTTTTCGCTCGGGCAATTTAAGCTGTGGCTTCAATTGATGCACGTTAATTGTCGGGACAAATCGAGCATGTTTTATCATCAAACATACTTTTATCAATCCGGCTAATCCTGCTGTTGACTCCGTATGGTTTATGTTTGATTTAACTGATCCTACACGAAGTACTCTTCCACTACTATTTCCATAAACTTCGGATAATGAGCCCATTTCGACGACGTCTCCCACAGCTGTACCAGTACCATGTGCTTCCACGTAACTTATGTCGTCTTTAGACAAACCAGATTCTTGAAGAACTCTTTCAAACAAGGCTGCTTGCGTTGCCTCACTAGGTGCTGTCATTGGGATTGCCGTTTGACCATCGTTATTCGTACCACACGCTACAACTTCCGCATAAATGTTATCTCTATCATCCAAAGCGTTTTGAGTTGGTTTCAAAATGATGGCAGCTACACCTTCGCCCCGCCCATATCCGTCTCCTTTTATGTCAAAACTTTTGCAACGACCATCTTCGGCTAATAATCCAGTCCTGCAGGATGCCGTATGGAATTTGTTTCCAATCAAAAGAATATTTGGCGCACATACTATCGCAGCGTCGCATTCACCATTTTGTAAGTGTGCATATGCTACGTCTAAAGCAACGAGAGAGGATGAACAGGCTGTATCCAACGTTAAACTTGGACCGGTTAAGTTCAAGGAAAAAGATATGCGATTTGCCAAGACTGACAAAGCACAGCCAGTCGATGAGAATTGATCAATTTTTCGAATATTTGACTGATCCATAACAAGAGAGCTGTATTCTATATTCATCGATCCAACATAAACACCAGTTCGACATTGTTGTAAATCTTCTAGACGTATGCCAGCATCCTCAATTGCTTCATAAACAACTTGGAGAAGTATTCGCTGTTGCGGATCCATTGACCGACACTCGCTTGGGGATATTCCAAAAAAATGGGCGTCGAATCCTGTAATTTTATCAAGAAAAGCACCAGTAAGGACATAATGTTTTCCTGGCGTGTGTTTTCCTGTATTAAAGGAATCGGTAAACTCTCTCGCGTCTGGTCTGTTCGTTGGATAAGTGCCAATACCACATCTACCCTCTGCTATCATATCCCAAAAGGCATCTTTTGAGTTTGCACCACCGGGGAACCGGCAACTGATTCCGACAATTGCAATAGGATTAGGCGTTTCAGTTTTAGCAACTGATTTAGAAAAACTTAGGTTTTTAATTCTTCTGAATTCGCGTTTCTTTGTACGGTTGAACCATTTCGTAATAAACGAGTCAATGTTTTCTACGCGGAAGTCAAATATCTTTCCTAGTAGGGTCAGGTAAACAGGTAATATGACTAAGCCATGAAGCAAACCAAGAATAACGATACCAACAAACATTTTGAAAAATGTTTGAAATACTGTGGAGGAAGTGAATCCCGTTGGCATCATTCCAAGGAATGTACTAAGCCCTCCTAGGAAAACGCTACCGCCAACTCTGTGTAGAGCATCGATGACACGAAGTTCAGGCGTGGTAGCCTTAGAGGAAACAAAGTGAAAAGCGACGTGTGCGTTGTAGTCTACAGAAAATCCCAATGCCATAATAAGGTTTATCATAGAGATTGAGTTTAACGAGACATTCCATATGTACATCAGGCCAAGTAGTTCAAATATAAGAGCAACAAAACCCCATATAAGACAAAATATTATTACAAAGTGATTAAGAAACAAGCACGATATCACAATAATTGAAATTCCAGCGACGATCAAGTTCCTAATGGTTTCATCAAGTACACGTGCATACTGTTCAAAGTATATGAACGGTAGAGCAACGGCAAAAGCATGAACATTGGAGGAATGGAAGAGATCTTTTCGAATGCTGGCCATCATATTTCTCTGAAAGGTTGAGTCAGGGTCACTTCTAGAATAAACTAAGATCCTTGAAGCTTTCAAATGTGTTTTATCTTCTGAAAATTTGAGATCCTGGGCAAATCTTTGATACTTCGGAATTGAAATAAATTCTTGCAAGTAGGCATGGAATATTCTGGTATTGTTAATCTCGATGTTTCTTTTTTGTGCCCAAGATATATATTCAGATAACCATGATATGCTTCCCGTGACAAAATATTCATTATTTTCAACAAGATTCTCCACATAGAAGTATGTTTTTTCAATTTCGTTGCTCGACTGATCAGCCTGTGATATAAAGATAATATTGACTTCGATATTAAGATGAAAGTTTTCTTCATAAACTTTTAGGAATTCCCGGTAATGCGAATCTTCAGTTGTCAACAGCTTTCTGTTGAAGCTCTCGTCAATGCTACGAGCGCCATAAATCCCAAAAGAAAGGAGAATTAATGAACTCAAAAAGATGATGATTTTGCCAGAGGGTGACACTATTTTTTTCCCCCATGCTTTCATAACGTTGTCAAGTCCACTCCTCCGAATTCCTGAGCAACAATCAGTTGGGGGAGGACTCATTAACCAAGGCAAAAAATCCCGGCGTCCTGCGTTGATTCTTTTAATATCAAACCACATACAACCAACGAAAAATGTTAGCAGCAGAACAAAAACAGATGAAATTGTTAGAGCTGCGTATGTGCAGAAAATACGAATAGAAGGGAAGATGGAGCGACAGCTCACGGCAAATGCTACGAGATCTGTAAGAGTTGCCATAGTAATAGTTGGACCGCTTCTAGCCATTGTCCCACTAAGAATATGATTTGCAGGTATATCTTGATGGATCATTTCATTCAGTTCGTGTAGGATAATGAACACATCGTCAATGCCAATGCTAACAACCAAAAATGGTAGAACACCAACCATACTGATAAAAGGAACACCGACCAACATTAAGAAACCAAGCGAGCTAGTGACTCCTAGATATATGGACAACAAGGCACTAAATCCTAACAATTGATGGCCGTAACGAGCATCTGCGCATCTTCCATTCACAACGCCACTAAGAATTCCCATGATCACGAATGTTACGGCAAAAAACTTAATATCAGAACCAGTACTTTCTGCAACTGAGTCGTCCAGGCTTCTTTCTGCTGCATAAAAGATATTTGCACACGTAGTATTTTTCGAAAAAGATGATACTTTATTCAAAAATATCTTTTCCCACTCCAAGATGCCTTCCCTTCTCTCTTCTCCCCTGTCATGCTCTCTCATAAAGTAAACTATTCTCAGTGCGTTTGTGGAATTAATTGAATCAATAGAAGCAGTGTTTCCAAAAATTTGATTAAAATTATCCAAAAGTCTTCTTCCGTTCGACATAAGAAAAGCATCATTCTGGATTATGGTCTCGATACGTCGTAAAATATTGCCAACTAGATTTTTCTTTTGAAAACCAAAAGCTTCCAATATGTTTGTTGAGGCACAAGTGCTATTAGTGTTTGGTCTAAAACAGTATTCGTCGTAATCCTTTATCTCTGTGATAATGTTGTGTAAATCAGTCATTTCCGCCAAACATTCTTGCGACAGGACAGACTTCCCAGGTTTAGGCAAGACAATAACTTCTTCTTGTCGCACTTCCAGTTCAAAGCCTAGACTTCTTGCTCTTCGTATATCCTGTGATGCTTCACTGTTTTCTGGAAGGTACAAAAACTTCACACTTTTTTCGACTTTTAATTCCACGAAGCCACTCGTTAGAGCAATAGTGACAAAAAGACAACACAACGTCACGAGAAATGGCCGTCGAGAAATAAATATGGCAGATATTTCAAAGATTTTTTCAAGAAATATGATAAAAAGCTGGTGCAATAAAGCCCATTTCTGTAGAAGTGAAGCTCTGAAGCAAAAGCGTGTTCGTTCCTTAGAAGGGCATTCTTCTTCACTGTTATTGGCATTGCTGTTAGCTTGCAAACTGCAGCTATTATAAAATAATAAAAAGAAAGTAAATGTTGAAATAAGTCTTCACATCTGAATTGAATTGATAAACAACTAAATAGTAACTATGAAAGCCAATTAAATTTGCGTTTTGGTGCGGTTGCATGCAAAGAACGGCACATGCGCAGATGCGACGTATTGAACATTATTCACGATGTAAAGAAACGAGGAGAGACGAGCATTGCTTCAAAACATTTCGGGCGTATAAATCGAGCAATTCTTTGAGAATCTACGCAATTTATCAACTTATGTTATGAATTACGAGTGTTACGCAAGGCTTTATTGTGTTTAGATATATGCATGTAAAAATAGAATAAATAGCTGCAAAAATAGGAAAATCAATAGCATGACAGGGATTAGTGATTAAGTTTTGCCACAAGATGCCTGAGTAAATATAATTTCGGCCCATTCGCAATCATTAATCACATTTCCTTTCATGCATGACATTTCGTGGGATTGAATAAAGTAGTAAGGTGAAAATATCAATCATCCTGTCAGAACGTGCGCATCTGGATCAACAGTCGTATGCCGTTGCCAAGTTTAACTGTCATAATTGAAAATATGCATGCTTGAGGCAGCTGCGAAGCTCTTATGTCAATCAAATGTGTTTTTTATAATGCGCAGTCGAGCATTTTAAAGATTACGTCAGAGAAGTTTAATTCGATTAAAATAGTAAAATAAATAGTTAAGTTAAAAAATAAGGTTCACAAAAACAATGTTTGATAATTTTAATGCTTGTTGATGATAAATATTTTAAGTTGTGAACATTAGAAAGCATTGATCGATACAGCTAAAGACCAACTCGACTAGTGCGTCAACGCCTTATACAAACAAGAAATGAGAGCTGGAACGAGCTTCTAATGCACACCCCCATTTCTATCTAACAACGCTGATTGGTTGGATAAGGATCAGCCCACTCTGGTTGATGACGTGCGCAGATGTCCCTCGACCATTACTATAAAAGGGCGTGCACAAGAACTTCAGACGGAACCCCGAAACGAGAGTGGACTAGCGGAGTAAAAAGCATATGAAACGTTAGGAAGCTCAACCTGACAGAACGGACAGCCAAGACAAGAATGGAAAACGACGAAGTTCCGAAAGGACGAAAATTGGAAGAGAAGAACGGAGAAAGAAGAGAACATTATTGACCTTTAGTAAACCCTTGTAAAAGATCTCCTACCTCGCGTAAATAGAACATTAAAGACATATAACACGAGCATTCAATTCAACACAAATATAATTTGGAAGGTTTATTCCATCAATAGAGCTAATTAAGAGGCTAGGAAGAAACGACGCTGTGTTGGATTGATCGATCTCCTACACGAATATATTATGTCGATAGAAAGTCGATACCTGGTATTCTGCATACAGTATATAAATGATACTATACAAAACGGACATTTTGGACAGTAAGTCAAATCATTTTGGTGGAATACATGCAGTATTGATTATAAGTATGTTGTTTTGTATCGATTTACGCATCGAAGTATCCACATCATAGACATAATATGCACCGCGGTTTATTTACATTATTTACAACACAACTATTTTGGCTATTCTTATGAAATGACGGATAAATTGTTGCCACCGTATAAATGTAGTGAATGTAGTCACAGTTGTTTGACGTTGTTCTTACTAATTGATTATCAATTTTAATTGATGGTTGAACATTCAAATTATTTATCTTATATGTTGATCCAATCAAAACGTATTCAGTTTTTATAGTAATATTCAAATTAAGCTTGTTTGCTGATAACCAAATTCGGACATTCTCTAGGTCCTCATTTGCCCTTTTCTCCACTTCATCCAATGTTTCTCCTGCTGCTGCTAAACTAGTGTCATCCGCAAACAGTCTGGCTGTTGTGTGTTTGAGGCAATTTGGCAAGTCATTTATATAGAGATAGAATAGAAGAGGGTCAAGTATACTTCCCTGGGACATGCCACAAATTATTTTTCTTTGTTTAGAAAACACACCATGAAGATGGCATTTTTGAGTTTGATTATAGATTCTATCAGTCAGATAATTACGCAATAGTGTAAGCGCCAATTTTCCGAAACCGTATATTTCAAG